CAGCAGCAATGCCACCATACGCTAAGGGAATTCAAGAAAAGATCGAACGCACATATGTCTGAAAGGGCTAAAAAGTGGACAAAGGCATCTAACTATTGCTCACAAGTTAAAACGGTTAGCCATGTACAAGCTATAAATAGATAAATAAAACAATGACACCGTATACACAAGTTGATTCAAAAATAACGACGTGCTATTCACAGGTCAGAACCCGATTTAAGGGAAGTAAAACGAACGGCAATTCGACTTCCAATAAATCAAAAGTCTGGAAAAAAAAGGGGGAATCTTACGTACCATAAACACCAGCAGCAAATACATGCAAAGAAATCAAGAGCCGCCGCGAACAAATCAGGTGCGCACATGCAAACCCACGTGAGCCGCCCCCAGGCAAAACGCGCAATTCATGACAAATTCAAACAAAAAATAGTCAAACTTAAAAAAAGAATTTTCACGTAGAATGTGTAAGGTATTGCATTTGTTAATTTTTTCGCTTAAAAGTATAACAACTAATATGGGGTCTTATACTAACAGCCATTTGGTTTTCAGCCAAAAAACCTATAAGTTAAAAATAGTTTCTTGATGACTCTAGTAAGTAAAAAGTAATATTTTCCTCAATTCGTTATACTTAAAACCTATTTCAAAGTATATATTGGAGAATTAGTGCAGTGCCTCAGGCCAATAATGAATCTGCAATGGACCATACAAGTGTCAAGCACCATTTACAGATAACATAGTCAACGTTTGAAAGAGTAAGGACCTAAAATTTAATTATTCAAGGACAACAATGAAGTACGCGTGGTGAAAGCCCTGTTGTCTACAAACTGCTTTGTTCGAAACGCACAACTCCATACTTGGCCAATGCTTGTTTAAAACGCCATGATGCAGCCTTAAAAGGTACTCCACTGGTGTTTTTCGAAGACAAGGTTTTACCTACAAACGCAAGAAGGAAAACCATACAATGGCATACACAACGACAACATAAAGGGGAAACAGAGAAGACTGTGCCTGAAAGACGAAAGGGCTACAGAATGCTTATGCTGTTTAAATGTACTCCTAATGGTAAACGAGAGCAATATGTACCAACTTTGTGATAAATTCGACTCCAGGATTCCTAGAGGTAGAAAAATAGTCCCGCATCCCAACCACCATAAACTTGTACTGGTTTTTGTCAGCTCTCAAAACAACCCAACCCAACAATCACCTCGTTTGAAACGTATAAGTGCGAGAGTGAAGAAAATAAGCCAGGAGCTAGCTATACATTTTTATCTAATATTAG